GCGAGAGGTCGTGCTCTGGTTAAAAGGATTTGCTGGGTAGTGAAGCCCTCTTTTATGAATGAGAAGGTGGTCCAGCTGATGAAAGGTTGGCCTTAAATATTTCAAGAGACATTTACTGAAGATGGAGTATGACAAGCATTTGCATAAAGATACTTCAGCGTTGGGAAGGAGCGAGAGGAAGTAAATGTGGCAGAGTCCCTGTAACGAATTAGTGTGAGCTTATGGAGATTATTTTCCTAGTGTCTGCTTAAAAATGGGATTATTTTCCTAGTGTCTGCTTAAAAATGGTCTTTTTTAAAAGCAAGTTAGGATGGGGAACCATAACCACAATCAGAATGTCTCAGCACCTCCCGTACGTACACTCAATTTTCACGAGGCCTTCTATGCCCAACCTTTGCATGAAGGGTTCTTTCTTTTTTCCAGCTTCCCTTTTCACTTCTGTGCTGAAATGACTACGTGGGAACTTACAAACTCTTGACTGCTACCAAATTCTTCTTCATCACTTTCAAGCCCTTAAGCTGCCTCCTTTCAGCTCTTCCAGCCGCCCTGGTGCCTGCCCTTTTATCTGCTGTGCATGCTCTCCCTGGGCCTTCTGACTGGCTGTGCCTGCTCAGGAACACCTCATTGGAAGAACCAGCCCTCTCCCTTTCGTCACTGCCTTCCTTCCTCATGCCTATGTTTGCTGACGTGTGTGCTTGTTTACGTACTCTTTTTTCTTTCATTTCTGATCTCCCCTGTTGTAATGTCAGCTCCATGAAGTGAGGGTTGTTTTTCATGCACGGGGGCATCACGAGTTGCTTGAATAGTGTTTGGCACGGAGGAGCCAGGAAATGAATAAATTGATTTTGTTCTTGAAAGAAATTATCAAAGGTCTCTTCCAGACAATTGTATCCTGTTCCTTTCTGCACTATCATTGTGTTTCTGTCTTAGCCTCTTTAGAGTTCAGAAGGTATTGTAGGAAGGGATTCTTTGTTTTATTATAGTATTACTCTTGCTATTAAGAGCCCATAATGTTTAAGATGGCAAATAGGTTCAATACTAAATGTCTCTGTCATATAATATATAATATGTACTAGTTCATTTTCCATTGCTGTAATACCTAAGGCAAAATAGTGATAAAGAGAAAAGGTTTATTTGGGCTCACTCTTCTGGTAGGCCAAGGTCAGGGGCCAGCATCTGGTGATGCTATACTTGGGGAAGGGTCCTGAGGCAGCCCAGAGCATCATATGGCAAGAGACACAGAACCTATGTATGTATGTGTGTGTATTAAAGAATTCAGTCCTGGGAAAGCCACCACGATCGAGGCATTGAGTCTCCATCCTAAAGACCTCATTGAATCCTAACTACCTCCCAGAAGTCTGATCCCAAACACCGTCGTCCCTGAAGTTTCTGCGATCTTGACTACCTCACAGTGGGGATTGCAGTCTAAAGAGGTAGGGTACACTCAGAGCAGAACACCTTGCCTAAATTTACTCTTTTGGGTTTTGGAGATAGTCTCATCATGTAGCCTTGGCTGGCCTGGAACTCATTCTGTCGAGCAGGCTGGCCAGGAACTTAGAGAGGTCTGCCTGGCTCTGCCTCTGGAGTACTGCGATTGAAGGCCTGTGCCACCACTTCTGTTAATATTTTAACCAAAGGAGACAAGCTGTGCCAGACACTCACTGGGGCTGAGCTGGGTTGGGAGTTCTCCTGTGGGTACAGGCAGGTGGAAAAGCCCAGACCTATTCTTTCTGTAGGAACTGCTGCTTTCTCTACTTCTGTCTGAGAAACAGTGCTTCCGGGGACTTCTGTGCCTCCACTGATGAAGACACAGATTTGCAGTCAGGCCCAAAAAGCACCGAAGGTTGTTTAGGAGTTCCCAGTGAATGCCACCAAGCACACTTGTTCTCATGTGATGCAGGTTCTTTCTGTGTCTGTAATTCCCCCTGCTTTCACCTTAACAGAGAACTACAAATTTTAATTCCACTTTATTAAAAATTAGAAACAGTAATTCATATCCAGGGTCATTCTCAAGCCATTTTTGTGAGACTCAACCCAAGCTCTCACGAGACTCTAAATATAGTGTGGGGAATTTGCTCAGCTGGCTACTGGTACACACTTCTAAGTGAAGAAGGAAATAATTAAAAAAAAAAAAAAAAGAAGAAAAGTATTAAATGACGTAGTAAAAATCAGATTGCCTGTGCTGTTTCACCCATTTATTTAGAGAACACCATATGAAAAGAGTTGTTACTGAATCTTCAGTATATTAGTAGGTTCCTGCTTCTCATAGATTGTGCTTGAGGCAGAGCAGAGAAGAAGCAGAGTGAGCATGGCTGCCTCAGAGAGCTTCTGTTCTAGTTGCTGAGTGAAAGGCAAACAACACCTTGTTATCCCTTTCTCCTTTTTGTGTTCCTTGGCTGATACATGCACTGTTGAGAAAGAGGTGTGAGCAGATCTAGACAGAGTCTCCTGTAGCCCAGGCTAGCCTTGCACTTGCTGTGTAGCTGAAGATGTCCTTCAACTCCTGATCCTCCTGCCTCTACCTGAGAGTGAAGATTACAAACAAGTATGTGTCATCAAATCGCGCACAGGCCTTGAATCCCAGCACTCAGGCAGAGGTAGGTAGATCACTGTGAGTTCGAGGCCAGCCTGGTCTACTAAGGGAGTCCAGGACAGCCAAGGCTACACAGAGATACCCTGTCTCAGTGCCCGCCCCCATACACACACACAAAAACAAGTACCATACATGCTTTTATGTGATATTGGGATCAAAGCCATGTATACAGGGCAAGCACTCTCTCAGCCGAGCTACACCCCAGGCCCTGACCCTCTCTATGCAGTATCTGTATGGTGTTTTTAGATGTTTATTATTGTTTTCCTCCATATTCTTGAAGGAGCTAACAAGGGTACAAATCACACCCACATGGTTTCTCCAAAGATAACACAAATAATGATTACCCACATGAAAGTGTGCCCAACATTACAGTTCTTAAAGAAAGGAATCTACAATGAGATACCACCTCACACCCACGAGAATAACTCCTCAAAAAGATGGACAAGTGCTGGCAAGCGTGTTAAGGGAAGTGAGAATGTCATACAGTGTTGGTGGGAATTAGTCCAACCACTTTGGAAAACAGTCTCTCAAAAGGCGGTTACCATGTGGCTCAGCAGTTTTACTCCTAGATGAATACTCAAGAGAAAGAACATATTACTATACAAGTGTTCATATGTCATTAAAAATAGCCAAAGAGTAGAAACAGCCCAAATGTAAATCAGCTGTTAGATAGAAAAATGTAGTATACTTATTTTATGGAATATTATTCATCCATAAAAATAAATATTGATTTTGGTATAATATGAGTGAAGCTTGAAAGCATCACTCATGCTTTGTTAAGCCAAGGAAGTTGGATATAAAGGTGGCAGGGTTTTTTTTTTTTCATTTGTTTTTTTATAACGTACAGAATCAACAAAAGAATGGTAGCTCTCAGGGCAGACGGAAATAGATAGAAATAGATTGTGCTTGCTAATGAGCACGGAATTGAGGGGGGTAGTAAAAATTTGCTGGACACAGAAGGTGGTGATGGTTTCATGATCTCATGAACACACTAAAAATCACTAAACTGTATAAGGTTAGTGATTTAAAAGGTTCGGGCTGGGGATCTGATTCCTTTAGTAGAGTGCTTACCCAGCATGCACAAAGCCCTGGGTTCAGTCCCATCATAAACTAGATGTACTGCCCGATGCCTGGAGGCATTTGGGTGGTAGAGAAAGGAGGATCTGACAGTCAGGGTCATCTTGGTACATGTGGTAGGCCAGCCCAAGGTCCTGTCTAAAAAAAAGGGGGGGAGGTTGGTTAGATTCATGAAACATAAACTACTTTTTTAAAAAAGGAAACCTCACAGTTACAGCCTTTACAATAATGTAAACAAAAAAGATTTTAACAGGTTTCAGTGAGAATATTATGAAATTGTGGCTATGGAGATGGCTTAGAGGTTAAGAGCACTGGCTGTTACTCCATAGGCTCTGGGTTTGACTCCTGGCAACCATATGGTGGCTCACAACCATTTGTCGTACCAGTTTCAGGAGGTATCTGCAGACACCAGGCATGCAAGTAGTTCACAGATAAACACAGAGACCAAACACCCTTACACATGAACATAGACACATACAATACAACTTAAAGAGTGTGGGACCCTCATTCATTGTGAGAGGGAGGGGAAGGTGGTTCAGCCCCTTTGGGAAACAGTGTGGAAGTTCCTGGGACCTTGGTTATAGTGTTAGCACACAGCTCAGCATTTCCGTACCAGTGTGCGCGCTGCAAAGAAATGAGACTTATATCGGGGCCAGTGAGGTTGCTGAGTGGGTCAAGGCCTGCCGACAAGCCTGATGACCCGAGTGCAGTCCCGGAACCCACGTGGTAGGAGGGAGACAACTCAAGCACGTGCTTCCACCTTACACACAGCGTGGCTTGCGTGCACACACATACAAAGTGAAAACACGAAGCGTATATTGATATAGGAGCCTGTAAGTAAAAGCTCGTTACTGCTTCATCTGTAATTGCTAAAAGCTGGAAGCAAGGGAACACTCCTCAGCAGTAAACATAAGTGAACATCAAAAAACTTATGCTGCATGGAAACCAGAACTAGAACTACGCACAGAAAGGTTCTGTTGAGTGAAGTTTCTGGGAAGGCAAAGCCAGGTAGAAAGTCCAGCAGTGCCCAGTGGTTGCCTGAGCTCGGTGGTGGTGGTGGTAGCGACAGAAGACAAACTGTCCTAAGGGGTTATTTTATGGTGGTAGAAAATGTTATTAAACTGGATTGTGGTAGTTGGTTACCTACGTGTTTAAGCTTGCAAAGATTGTTGGATTGGATAGGTTTTATGGTATGTAAATGAAACCTCCAAAACTGCTTTTTTTTTGGGCGGGGGGGGGGGGATCAGCAGTCAGTCTGAGACTCTGGATATTTGACTTTGGGAAACAAAACAAAACAACAACAGAACATCTCTCCCCCTCCCTACCATAGAGTCGTCCTCCCGCTGATGCCAGCTTCAACTTTGATGCCAACAAACAGCAGAGGCAGCTCATTGCAGAACTGGAAAACAAGAACAGGTGAGAATGTGCCTCCCTGACCTGTAGTCACGCCCAGTACCATGTCCTGTGTGGTCCTGAGCACCTCACAGGCTGCTTGGCTTGTTGGCTGTCTGTGTTTCTCTGGGATTGTAATCGAGGCTGACCTCCAGCTCACTGTGTAACAGAAGCTGACTTTGATCTCTTCACTACCCCCTACCTCCACCCACCCAGCCCTGCATAACTCCTCAAGTAGGCAGGAGTAGTCCAGGACCCGGAGATACACTGCATGCTGTTGGTTCTGATTGTTCTAAGCTCTGCTGTGCCGCCCCTGGAGGGACTCTCTGAGAACCTCTCCTGCCCACTGGTGTGTCCTCACTGGGGAGCTCCTCACCCCACTCAGACATTTTGTTCTGTCTTAGCAGCTTATCCTGGCCCTGTTACACTGATCTCATTTTATTTTAAGGAGCCATTTTAAATGTTGCTAAAGGGTCCGGGGACCACACATTACACCATTGTGCAGTAAAAGGTGGAAACCAGAGCAAGGAGACTAGCCCTTGTGTAGCGTGCACTGAGAAGGAAATGGCAGGAGCCAGGAGATGAGGGAAGGGAGAGAATGGAGGAAGAGTCAGGAGGTCCACATAGAACCTCCACTGGGAGTTTGCAAAAGTTCCCTTTCCCTGGGGAGGAGCAGGGTAAATAAAATGTCCCAGTTGTCATGTCCCCTTCCTGGAGAAGGTCCAAGTTCTTGAAAAGAACATCACCGGTGGGCAGAGCACCTGAAGCCATCAGGTGAAACTGTTGTCATCCATTTCACACTTGGTGGGTTAGAGGCCTCAGGACAGAGGGTAAAGGAGGCCCTGAGGGGAAGAAAGGGCCATCAAACACTCACAGTGCCCCTCCATCCTCAGAGAGATCCTGCAGGAGATCCAGCGCCTGCGGCTGGAGCACGAGCAGGCTTCCCAGCCCACTCCTGAGAAGGCCCAACAGAACCCCACACTGCTGGCGGAGCTGCGCTTGCTGAGGTGAGTGCTCGTCTACCTGCCCCCAGGCTGCAGCCTGTGGTGGGGAGTCCTGTATTGGGAAACCAAACTAGTAGGACAGAATCTTTTCACCAGTTAGAATCAGACCTGTCAGAACAGACGGCCGGCCCCGAGAGTTCCACCGACCACCCTAGGGGCTCCTCAGTCATCATCACAGAGCTGGGTGAGATCCGTGCTCCCTCAGATCCCAAGCCAGGTGGTGGGTGATGGTTATCATCCAGGGCTTGTTTTAAAAAGACAACCATGTTTTCCTGAACCGCCAGAAGAAGGGGGAAAAAATCTTATTCCAGTTACCATGTAACTGGCTCCTCTTCTCTTGTAAGCTCTGATTTCAGAGGTTCCTGGCACTTGAGACAGGCAGGGCTAGGGCAGCAGACTTCCTGTGCACCAGCTCTGAGACAGGAGACTAAGGGTGAAGGGATGCCTTGCCCTTCATTGTGGTACCTACCGTCTCACCCTTCTCTAAATGTTCAGTGACTCAAGAGCTGAGAGTGTAAGGCTATAGGGCCAGACAGAAGAACAGAGCATTGTTGGCTCCCTGTTTGTGCTCTCTGGGTGAGGACATGGAAGTCTCCTCTGGAGAACATGGTGTGGGAATGACCAGATCGGTAATGACAGCCTTTATCCTTGGTCCCAGAAAAACGTGTTCCCATTAGTGCAGACATTATGGAAACCAAATCTGATGTCTTGGTTCTTACCAGAGCTCTAAATTCTTAAATTATGTGCCTTTTGGTTTCTGTTGTAGCATTTACAATTCTGTATTTGATACTTGATTTTCTTTTTGTGGGGATGAGATAAGATTGCATTCTGTAGCTGAGGCTGGCCTAGAACTTTTGGCCTTACATAGTATAGGCTGGCTTTGAACTTGTGGTAATATTCCTTCATCACCCTCCCCAGGGCTAGGATTATAGACCTGCATCATCCCGGCTGCCTCACAATTATGAAAGTGCTAGCATCTGGGATACACATAGCCAATAGCAGAATTGTAGGGCTTTCTTTGGAGCTTTGACCATGATTTCTTTTTGGTGGGGAACAATGATTATTGGTTTTCTACTTGTATCCTGTCATTAAGATTGTTATCATCAATAAGTAGAGCATAAAGAATTTAAACCATGTGATGAACACAGTTTGCCAATGCAGTGTGTCTGTCCTTCCCTCCCAAAGCTTCGTTTCAGACTGGACACAGTAGTGCACAGTAGCACTGGAGGCAGAGGCAGGAGGATCTCTATGAGTTCCAGGCCAGCCATGGCTGCACAGTGAAATTCTATCTCATAAAGAAAAGAAAACAAACTTCATTTCAGTTTGGGCTGTATACTTGGTGGCCATTATTCACTGTCACACTTTGGGGATGGTCACATGTTAAGTGCTTTACTAAGAGAGAGGAAGCAAATGCTGACTCCAGCGGAGGGTAAGCTGCAGCTGTCAGCTTAAGACCCACCTGTGTCACTTCATTGGCTCAGGTACAGGTGACTATTTATATACCCAGAAAAGCAGAAGCTGTTGTTCTGGAATCTGTTGCAGAACTGCAGTTACTGTACTGAAAGTGTCTGGTGACCAGAAGAGTATTGCAGATTCAGTCAGCACAAGCCCAGTCCAGGGATGCCATGCCACACAAAGCAGCAAGAAGCAGGAGTTTAAGTCCAAGGGGAAGTCACGAGTTCATTTTAGAAATAGCTCCTGTAACATAAGGCAAGGAGGGATGTTTGATCACTGAGCTAGGCCAGTTATCTGTACATGGGGAAACACACAGTACAAAGCCAATCGCAGATGAATTAAACAGAAAGACAGAACTTTCAAACTTCCAAGAGAAGACATAAATGAATTTCTTTAGAACTTTGGAATAGAAAATAATTGCTTAGTCAGGCATAGTGGTGCACACCTTTAATCCCAGCACTCAGCAGGCAGGAGGATCTCTGTGAGTTCAAGCCCAGCCTGCTCTACAATGTGAGTCGAGGACAGCCAGGGCTTGTTACACAAAGAAACCCTATCTGAAAAAGAAAAGAGAGAGAGAAGAAAGGAACGAAGGAAGGAGGAGGGAGAAAGAAGGAAGGAGAGAGAGAATGAGAAAAGAAAGAAAATAATTGTTCAGAGTTACAAACAATGACAGACGCTGGTAGAGTTGCCTACATTGCTCTAGAGAATAGAAGGGCTGAGGATATAGCTCAGTTGGTAGAGTGCTTGCCCAGCATACACAAAACCCGGAGTCCCAGCACGGAATAAACCAAGCATGGTGGTGCATGCCTATAATTCTTGGGTGGTGGAGGCAAGATCAAAAGTTCAGGGTTACCCTCAGCTACGTGGAGTTTAAGGGCAGCATGAGATAAAGGAGATCTTTTATAAAACAAAACAACCTCTATTTATGAAGTGACATACAAAAGGTAGGATTCATTTATAGGTATTTCATGCCCTTTTGGTTTTGACCTTTATGTATGAGTTGAGACTTGCCAGTCACAAGCTTTCATTTCTGATGAGCTGCTACCTCCTCTTGGGCAGGCAGAGGAAAGATGAGCTGGAGCAGAGGATGTCAGCGCTGCAGGAGAGTAGGCGGGAGCTGATGGTGCAGCTGGAGGGGCTGATGAAGCTGCTGAAGGTGAGACCCCGACCTGTGTGCTCCGTTCCCACTGCGTCTCTCACCAAACAGCTGGGCACTCTTGGGCCTAGGAAGTTTTCAGGCAACTCTGCATAAGGGTAGCCTGACTGGGTTTCAGTCATTGATAGTAGCATAGAACCTATAGATGCCCTAGCAGGTAAAGGTAATTTCTGTGGTCAAGAGCACTGGCTGCTCTTCCAGAAGGCTCACATTGTATTCCTAGCACCCACATGCACCTCACAAATGTTTGTGACTCCAGTGCCAGGGGATCCGACACCCTCTTCTGGCATCATGAGCACCAGGCACACAAGTGGTACACATATAAATGCAAGGAAAACACTCATCCACATAAGAATAAAATAATTACAAATAAGTATGTTTGTAAAGCAGGTGTTAACTATATATAAATGAAAACTGTTTCTCAACTACTTCAGTTTGTTTTATTGGTTTTTTTTCTTTGTTTTGGTTTTTTTGTTTTTCGAGACAGGGTTTTCCCATTTAGCCCTGGCTGTCCTGGAACTCTCTCTGTAGACCAGTCTGGCTTCAAACTAAGAGATCCCATGCCTGCCTCTGTCTCCTGAGTGCTGGGATTAAAGGCATGTGCCACCACTGCCCAACTAAATGTTTCTTTTAATAAGATGGGTTTTCAAATATTTGGCAAACATTAAGTGTCCTCTTTTTAATAAGTATAGTAGCAAATTGTATTTGGTTGTTCACAGAGAACCAATGCCAACATATTTATAGCTATACATGGGGACTTATTATGGGAAGTGGCTTGCTCCATCCTGGAGGCAGAGGAGTCTACAAGGGAGACACAGGAAAGCCAATGGTATGATCCATGTGTCTAAAGGCCTGAGAACCTGACTGTATTATCCCAGTCCAGAGGGTGGGTTGTAAGAAATGGGTGTTGGGCTGTTGACCTAAGTTCTGGAGTCTGAGAGACCGAAGCCAGGGAGCTCCAGTGTAGTAAACACCTCTCCCCCAAAGAGGGAACACACTTGTTTTCCTTGCCTTCTGGTTCTATCCAGTTCCTCTGTGGGCTGGATGATGGCTTTCCCCGCTAGTGAGATCTGTCCTTGGTGTGCTGGTTCCAGTACCAAGCTCTCTTCAGTACTCTCAGGGCCACGCCTGGGAATAGTGCAACCATTCCCGTGGACGTCCCTTAACCTGGTCAGGCGGACATCATAAACCAACCTACTCATCCTGATTCTCCATAGTAACTTTATTAGAAAAAATAATCAGAAAATCCACTCTAGGTTTAGTGTACAGGGGAAGTGAATAAATCCATATTTTCAGCCTTTTCCGTGTTTGCGGAAAAGTATGTTACAGCCCCTTACCCTCTAGATTAAAGAAAGGTGATGGTTGGCATTACGAGCCCTCACCTGGACAGTGTGTTAGCACTGAGCAGCAACACTCGGTGGGTGTGTAGCAGAGATGTGAGCACAGTTGCCTGTGTGTCTGTGTTTAAGGCCCTACCTGTCACGGCTGTATCCCCGCCATATTGTGCAGCATGACACAGCAGCCAGAGCACGCTGAAGAGATTAATGTAAATCTGTGAAAGAGAGAACTTCTTAAAGTTTTTAAAAAACAAATTTGAGACAATGCTTGGCAGGTTAGAAGAGTATCGGGCTAAAGGATTATAGGAGACTCGTGTACTCGTGCAGGCCTGAGGTGACAAGGGTCCTGTGCGCTAACTCAAGAACGCAGTGGCCGAGACGTCTGCGTTCTGAGCCAGCCCCTAACAACAAGAAAGCCAGTGGGTCCCAGCGACTGGCAGAAGTGTGTTTGTGTTGGAAACTGATGCTTTACTTCTCAAGCTTTTAGTCTTGAGCTGAGGGTTTCTGACCCTAGCTTGGTCCTGGTATCTGGTTTATTTTACACGCATGGATGTGTTTCTGCATAGGTCCTGTTGCAGATTTCCTCTCAGAAGTATTTTGTGTGCAAGTGAGTCTAATTCCAAGGGAACTTTATCCAGGCATCTGGTCGGCCCAGTTCCCTCCAGTTGTCAGACATTCAGCCCAGTGGCCCCACCCCCCACTCATAACAGCAGCTGCGTACATAAACATTTGTCTTGTGCGATGCCTTGCGCCTTGCGAGATACTGAAAGCGCCACCCCATAGGGCATACTTGTAGGGCGGGAGATGATGTGGACATGCCCTGCCCTTGCCTTGTCAACCTCTCTTTCAGGGAGGGGCTCCCAAACGTGAGCCACACATGGGTGGGAAGGTGCCCAGCTGTGATGTTTTTAGTTTACTTTGCTTGCTTTTTTATGAGACAAGATCTTTCTGTGTACCAAAGCTGGCCTGGAACTCCAGAGGTCTGCCTGCCTCTACCTCTCAAGTTCTGGGATTACTGTGTACCACCATGCCCTCTTCTGGCCCTCTGAGGGCACCTGTATGCACATGGCACACATATAGATGAACAGGTGCCCACACATACACATAAGTAGAAAATAAATCATAGGCCAGATGTGGTGGTACATGCCTTTAAACCCAGTTCTGGAAGGTGGAGGCTGGGAATCTGTGAGTTCAGGGCCAACCTGGTCTGCATAGTGAGACCCTATCTCAAAATAATAATAACTATTATATATATGTTAATGATACAAATTATATTTATATATTTGTAAATATGTGTTATATGTTTGTATAGTATAATTATGTAATTATAAAGTATATGTTTATATATAAATTATTAATAGGCATTATTGTATATACATATATTTTTTAAGTTTCTAAATGTCATATTAAATAGTTGATGAATAATGATTAGACTCAGTCCCTGTCACCAAGGAGTGTCAGCAATCTTCTTGTTTGTTTTTTTCTTTTAATGATATAATGTCACTGGACACTCAGGTACCCACATTTCTGTATATATGTTTCCTTTCTGATTTTTCTTGATTCATCAATATGTTACTAACCTATGTCTCAAATTACCTATTTAATCTATAAATAATTATATGTAATATTTCTGTTTCTAACTCTTGCTTTCAACACTTTTACTTCATTTTAATTTTTTCTAATATTGCTTTTGCATTGGTTTTTAACAGACTGCCATAGAACTCACCTGTATCTTCAGGCTAGCCTTGAACTCATGATCCTTCTGCCTCAGCTCTCAGAGTTCTGGGATTGCAGACATCAACCATTATGCTTGGGTCAGAATGTCAGTCTCTTTGTAGCAGGGGCTATGCTATTACTACTTCCACCGTATGGAAGAGAGGCACATCTTTTTAGGGAACTTAGGCTCTTCTAGATTTGTGCCTCATAACTGAGATGTTATGACCCCCTTTAAGTCAGGTTAGTCCCAGCTCTTCTCTTCAGTCCATGTTGGCTGACCTTAGCTGACTGAAATGCTGTCAGACCTTATATCCGAGCCTTAGAGGCTTTGTGTGACTAGCTTTTGTGAGTTTCTGTAGCACCAGCCTAGGGAATACTTTGCCTGGATCTCTCAACTACGAGACCGCCTCAGTCTTGAGAACACTGCCCTGTGTGTCAGCCCATCCTAGCCTGGCCTATGGTCCCACAGGTCATAATGGTGCCATGTTCTGGAGCAACACACACAGCAGAGTGAACATGGTGTGATCTTGATACATTGTTTCTGAAATTTCCATACTTCCTTTTGTTTATTTTTCTTTCAAGACTAACCTTGAGACAGGCCTCTAACCTGAGCCTCCCAAGTGCCAGGAATACATTCGTGAGCCAACACAACAGCTTCCCTGTTGTGTTAAACTAAAGCTGTGCTTTTCTTCAGCATGAAACCTGAAGTACGTGGTAACACTTAGACAGCATTCTCAGCACAGCCGGGATTTCAGCTTATGAGGAGTGCCCCGCCCCGCCCCTCCCAACCGGTCTCACTCTGTAAACATAGCTGTTCTGGAGCTCACTAGGCGTTCAGTGTATAGACCAGGCTGGTCTTGAACTCAGCTGAACAAAGATCCTGTCCTCTGCCTCTCCAGTGCTAGGATTAAAATTGTGTGCCACTGTGCTTGACTGATCTCGGTTGCTATTTCAGGAAGTAGTGCCAGTGATTTTTAAATGGCATAATACGTCTCCCCTGGCAGCTTCCTTGCCCAGTGAGAGCTGGCTGGAGGTCTGTGTGCCTCAGAGAAGTGTCCTTCCAAGCTGCAGCTTAGTCCCTCCATACTGCAGGTGTGACTGGGATTGCAGACATCAACCATTATGCTTGGGTCAGAATGTCAGTCTCTTTGTAGCAGGGGCTATGCTATTACTACTTCCACCGTATGGAAGAGAGGCACATCTTTTTAGGGAACTTAGGCTCTTCTAGATTTGTGCCTCATAACTGAGATGTTATGACCCCCTTTAAGTCAGGTTAGTCCCAGCTCTTCTCTTCAGTCCTCTCAGGAGGGCCAGACAGTGCTCAGAGCCTCTGTCTGGCTACTGGGAGCTGGGTAAGTCCTGATGCTGGCAGCTGGCTCTCAGCATAAAGAGCTTCCTCCCTGACTACACTGAGCCTCAAGGGATTTCTCGGTGCTCATTGAGTTTCGAGTCCATATCTGTCTCTCCCTTGCAGGAATGAAAAATATTCTCCACGTTTCCTCCTCTCCTTTGTGCAGTTCCCTCACACCCAGAGTTCCAGCACTCTCCCTCACACCCAGACCTGCAGACGCCTCAAGAGCAGGAGCATATATTCATTCCTGTGCCCCTCTACCTGGATACAGAGGGCCCACTGCACCCAGGGACCCAGCATGGGTAGAGCTACCATGCCGTATATTGATTTATATACTGGGGCACTATGGAGGCTCCCTGACCACAGTTACCATGTGAGGCACAGAAAGAAAAAGCAAAGAGATTGGAGAGACAGTGACCTAGACAAGGGAGACTCAGAAGATTTATCTTGTTTCAGCTTGTTTTCTTTTGTCTCTGTCTGTGTTCATAACCTGCTCTGCCTACCCTTACTGTGAGGTTCTGAAAGAGAAGCCTCTCTTTGTTTCCAGTGCCTTATGCATGAGAAATACTAAGTAAACCTGTGTTAGAATACTATAGAAGTGAGATTGAGAGTTCTGTTCTCCTTTCCCTCCCTCAAGCTGTCCTCTGTAAGGATACAGCATCCTTTTGCCTCTGTCTTCCTAGTGATAGGCTTACAGGCATGGACCACAATGCCTAGCCCTAAAATTCTGTTTTCTTTCTCCTCTTGGGGACTTGTGTATTATTTTATGTTTTATTGTAACATGGTCTTATGTATTCCTGTCTGGCCTTTAACTGTGTGGCCAAAGATAGCCTTGAACTCCTAATCCTCCTGTGTCAGTCTCTCTAGTGCCAGAATTATAGTCATGAGCTACCATGCCTGGTTTATGTAGTGCAGGAGATCAAACCAAGTGCCTCATGGAACTAGGCAAGCACTCTAGCAACTGAGCTATATCCCAGCCCCTAGAATCCTTTTTGGAAAGGCCCCAGGGTCCTGAATCAGTTTCCAGTTCTCTGGGGGAAATGGGCACACCTAAATATCCCTGAAGGAAACAGAGCAGCTTGAAAGCTAATGGACGCATGTGGCGTCAGCTTGGTTATGGTGAGGGGAGCCTGGGAAAGAAGAAAAGCACCTGTGGTCAGGTGGCACCATCAGGTGGGATGCTAAGACCACGGCTCTTTGGGGCACATTTTGGGTCCCCACTCCTACCAGAGCTTTGATTAGCCTAAAACGTTCATCTCTGACAAGGTAATACTGATGCTGGTGGTCCGCATTCCACAACACAGGAACAGCTGCCCTGGAGATGGGGACCTAAACATACGTGCATATTGTGAATGGTGAGCTTGAGTGGTAATTGGGATTTTGAGTCGATATTGAACTTCCTCTTTCAGTTTACCTTAAGTAGCTGAGACTAGAGGCTAGTTAGGCCCTCCAGGCCTAGAAGTAGAAATTGAACTAAATGGGCTGGAGAGATGGCTTCAAAGGGTAAGAACACTGGTTGTTCTTCCAAAGGTCCTGAGTTCAACTCCCAGCACCCACATGGTGCCTCATAACCATCTATAATGAGATCTGGTGCCCTCTTCTGGCCTGCAGGCACACATGCAGGTGCGTATAGATAGATAGATAGATAGATAGATAGATAGATAGATAGAT